AGTCGTTAGCCATCTTTCTTCTAGGTGTCCCAACACTTGGCAAGTAACTCTGGAAGGGGGAGATGTGAACGTCTCCAGCAGTTAATGCAGGGCTGCCAGACTATATTAGTTTTAATTCCAGCCCAGCGAATGCTTGAATTTTTTATGCTAAAACAGCATAAAATGATAAAGTCATTTCATTAACATTATCAAAATTCATGATATGTAACAGAACTTGCAGGAATTGAGTTTTAGATCAATTAGCATACATTAGTTTTAAACACTGGGGTCCACACAGATCTGTACAGTGCAGTGAGAGCTGATTACAGGAGATTCATGTCATAACTGACAGTTGGCTGATATGAGACAAGAAGGTGCTCATGCAGCAGCTACCTAAAATAAACAAATATTGTAATTCCACCTAAGTAAATGTGATTTATATTCCTCTGCTGTGAAACTATGAATGGCCCAGCCCATGCATTGACCCAATCAAGTAAATTAACAATAATAAGTGAGAATAGCAATGCATGATATCCTCATTTCTGAAAAAGAAATGAAAAAGTCCAAATTAACATTTGATTAGTGGGAATGAAATGGTGTGAATGCAGCGGGTCCCCTTTATGACTTGCCTTGCAACCATCACAGAAACACTGCATAATATAAGTTCTGACACAGTTCATGCTTAGACAATTTATATTCTGCATCAGCTGTATTACAAGATGAGGCACAAAATACATGTGAGGGTCTAAAAATATTAGAGGCCTAAATAAGAGACCTAAACAGGATAAATTAAAAAAAATAATCTCCCCATATGGCTTATCCTTCAGCCCTTCCCCTAGACTCTCCTGCTTTGTGTGTACATGTTGGGGGCATTCAAGTTGTACTATCAAATACCCATAGTCTGTGGTTTAATTTGCGTTCCAAATGCAACATAACTGACAAATACCAGTTTAGTATTTAAACTGTCAAACAGGTCTGACCTCAGTATCTTCAGTTTACAGCGTGACTCCTCCAGTCCAACAAAGAGCAGCTTCACTCCTGAATCCTGCAGGTCATTGCCACTCAGGTCCAGTTCTCTCAGGTGTGAGGAGTTTGATTTGAGAGCTAAAGCCAACGCTTCACAGCATGTCTTTGTGAGCTTACAGCTCTTAAACCTGGAAAAGAACACATTTTCAGACACAACATGAACACTGGTAATAGTACTGACACAAAACAAAAAAACGAGCATTTGATTTCAGTAAAATTGTCAGGCCTGCCTAGTTTGTCCCCTGCAGTGTGTTATTTGATAATTGCCCTTTATAGCATGTGTCTATGAATTTACAGTGGTTCAATCTGGACAAGAAAACATTCCAAGACACAGACATACATTCTAGACATTATTAACAGTACTTAAACAAAATATCAAATAAGCATCTCTTTTTCAATATACTGAGCATAACTTACATTGCAACTTACATAACATGACTTACACTGAAGAGTGTACTGTATATGTTCTGTGAATTAGTGGATCATAAACTATTGTATCGGCAATCTATTGAAATGCAGATCTCATATCTAATATTGCTTTATATTTACCAAAAAAAATGAACTTCTAAAATTTACAGTGAGGAATACCCAATAATACTGACCTCAGTATCTGCAGTTTACAGTNCTTCACTCCTGAATCCTGCAGGTCATTGCCACTCAGGTCCAGCTCTCTCAGGTGTGAGGAGTTTGATTTGAGAGCTAAAGCCAACGCTTCACAGCATGTCTTTGTGAGCTTACAGCTCTTAAACCTGGAAAAGAACACATTTTCAGACACAACATGAACACTAGTAATAGTACTGACACAAAACAAAAAAACGAGCATTTGATTTCAGTAAAATTGTCAGGCCTGTCTAGTTTGTCCCCTGCAGTGTGTTATTTGATAATTGCCCTTTATAGCATGTGTCTATGAATTTACAGTGGGTCAATCTGGACAAGAAAACATGCCAAGACACAAACATACATCCTAGACATTATTAACAGTACTTAAATAAAATATCAAATAAGCATCTCTTTTTCAATATACTGAGCATAACTTACATTGCAACTTACATAAGATGACTTACATTGAAGAGTGTACTGTATGTTTTGTGAATTAGTGGATCATAAACTATTGTATCGGCAATCTACTGAAATGCAGATCTCATATCTAATATTGCTTTATATTTACAAAAAAAAAACTGAACTTCTAAAATTTACAGTGAGGAATACCCAATAATACTGACCTCAGTATCTGCAGTTTACAGTGTGCAAACCCGAGCAATTCCAACTCCTTACTAAACATTGATGTTAGCCAGTTGGGAGTGAGCCATTTCGAAGTTGAATCCAGGTTATTGTCACTCAGGTCCAGCTCTGCCAGATATGATTTTGATCTGAGAGCTGAGTCCAGTGCTACACAGGATATCCAACTGAGTTCACATCTTTTCAGCCTTTAAAAGGAAATATCAAAGCCACAGTTTACATTTAAGAATGAATTACAGTGTGCAGTGATCTGTGCCTCTCATGATGAGATGAGAGCTGCGATGGTATTTTATTTACTGTAGTCAATCTGTGGGTCTTACCTCAAATCCTTATATTTATTGTATTACTGTACAGTTTCAGCAGACAAAGTACTGTAACATAAGTCACACTGTATTGCATTTTACCGACAGGCATAAAATATATACACAAAACATATATAAATATAAAAGCCTATATTACTGAAAAAAATGATTCAACTTACTTCTTGGTGTTATTTAACGAAATTATGTTGATACAATGTAAATACATTAGTTTTAATGCATAATTCTTTGAATGAACTCAATTGAATCATGGACGGCGCTTCCACACAACTATAATGAGTATTTTGAAAATGAAATTTCTTTTTAAGCTGATGCATTCACTTTGTGTTCTGATAACAGAATATAGTTCAGTTAATATCACTCACTTTCTCATGGCTAATTCAACCATCTGAATCACTTTTATTCTATTTAAATTAGGTATATAATGTAACAGCAGCCGAAGTTTCCATCATGAAGATGACTGCCAAATACTGACATCACAGGATGTTCTATATTTATAATAAAAAGTGAACAGCTGTGGTTGTTCATGAAATATCCCATTAGGGACGGTGTATTTGCTGATCTACAGCTTTTTTGATTTCCAGACTTGACCTTGTAGCCTTATATATGCAGAAGGATGTTAGGAGAGCTGTGACGCCCTTTGCTGTGCAGCTCCAGGAACCACCACCTTCCCTGTAGACCAATGGTGCTGCATGTATTTTGCATGGCAAAACAAGGCACTGCCTTTGACGTAATAAACATTAAAAAAAAAAAAAACCTCCGTAACGGTGTTCAATAGGGCAAGAGTATAAAAACCCCAGATAGAGGAAAGCTTGATGCTGACTGTAGCCATAGAACTGGAATTTTGTGGGATCTTGTATGCTGGTCAGTGCCTGGGAGGCTGTGCGATGCCTGTGGGGGGGTTGTTGTGTAGCCAAATGCCATGGTTGGAAAGGAAATGAGAAGCAGGACTGATTATCCTTCTCTACATGCATATATAAAATCAGCTGAATGCATTAAGAACAGCTTAAACTAAACCTGATACACTGTAGTCATAGAAGAAAATCCTACAAGTCTTTTGGGGCTACAGACCAACAAGTACCCCCACAGTACCAACGGCAAAGGGTCAAACAGTATGTAGGAATTACCTACAACAACCGAAAGAGACACTGAGGGATAGCTAATGATAAAATGTGGTAAAGACTAATATCTGTGACATACCATCCTCAATCACGGAGGGCTTCTAAATATTAAGCCTAGTAAAAATATTAATATTTGAATCTGAATATTAAATGAGAAAATGATTTGACTTTTTCTTCTATCCCAAGTCATGATCTAAAATCAATCAGGCCCATTATATCTGCTCCAGGGAAAATGCACTCCTATAGCCACTAGGGGAGCTCTTACCTCTCAGTCCTAATAAGAAAATGTTATGCAGTCCAGCAAGCAATTCAGTTGGTTTAATTAAACATGAGTAAATTCATTGAGATTAATTCACATATGCTCTGTTCTCAGAACACAAAAAGAATGTTTTGATTGCCAAATACTCAGTGTAGTTGTGTGGGATGACAGTATATGATTCAATTGAGATCAAGTGTATTGGGGAAAAACAATGCAAAGAAACAAATGCAACTTGGATGTGAATCCTCCCGTAACATTCACACCAACAAAATAGCTCCTAATGTTAGGTTGTCATCCTACCTCCCAACCTATACTGCATGGTATAGGATCCAGGCTCCCTGTCCAGGATAAGCAGTTGGAAGAAGGACAGATGGATGGATATAAAATGCATATTCTGTACTCACTTCAGTTTCTTCAGTTTACAGCTGGGATCCTCCAGCACAGCAGAGAGCAGCTTCATTCCCGAGTCTCCTGGGTGATTGTAGCTCAGATCCAGCTCTCTCAGGTGTGAGGGGTTTGAGCTCAGAGCTGAAGCCAGGGAAGAACAGCCTTCTTCTGTGACTGTACAGTCTGACAGTCTATAGAAAGGAAATCACAACATTGTTTTCTACAAACCTGTATTCACTAACCATTAGCCATACAAAGTAACTTCATTCTATTTGAAAGTGAGTGATCTGCAGCAATGCCACTCGACAGGGGTAATTTTGTGATTTTGATGAGCAATGTAGAAATTACATGTGATCCCTCCCATGACACTGACAGAGAAATTAAATTGCTTTGAATGTCATCATAAGCCATCATTCTAACAGGTATTCCCAAACTTCACAAGGAACAAGTATATGTGAACATCCCCCATAGCTAATGATAGGCTTATTACAACATCAAAAATATCCTCATTATTAAGCCAAGTAATTAACAGGAAGAAAAAACTCTTGGACACACCAAATCTGGCAGGGATTAAATGTGACAGGCCGAGAGTAACAGATATTTAAAATACCATAGTCTCCACAAAAATGGCATGGGCAGTCAGTCGATAGCACTGTTGCCTCATACCTCCAGGGTTTGGAGTTGAATCCCACTTCTACCTCATTGTCTGGGGAGTTTTCATGTTTTCTAAATGTTAGCTCTGGTTACTGCATTTTCCTCCCAGATGCAGTTCAGCTAATTGGTGTCTGTAAATTACCTGTTGCGTGTGTCAGTGTGTGCCCTGTGACTGACTGGCATCCCACCCAGGGTGTCACCCTACCTCCCACTCTGTACAGCACGGCATAGGGATCCAGGCTCCCTGTCCAGGATAAGCAGTTGGAAGAAGGACAGATGGATGGATATAAAATGCATATTCTGTACTCACTTCAGTATCTCCAGTTTACAGCTGGGATCCTCCAGCACAGCAGAGAGCAGCTTCACTCCTGAGTCTCCTGGGTGATTGTAGCTCAGATCCAGCTCTCTCAGGTGTGAGGGGTTTGACCTCAGAGTTGAAGCCAGGGAAGAACAGCCTTCTTCTCTGACTCTGCAACCTGCCAGCCTGTAGAAATGAAATCATAATATTGTTTATACAGACACTATGCTGGCCTGTAATCAAATGAAAGCATAAAATAAAATAATGCAGCGTGAATGTTAAAAAGGGGCAATGGTCATTTCTTGGGGGACTGTTGGTAGCTCGCTTAAAAAATACATAACATCCTCTAATGGTTACAATGTGTGGGTGCTTTGCCTCATTACAGGGGTATGAAATTAGTTCTTCTGTTGCATCTGGAGGTCTTAACAGGAGCTTAACTCAAAGGAAACTAGATGCTGTCGACGCTGCAACAATGAGCCTCATTCATCAACATCATCCAAAGATTTCCCTTCAGTTTGTTCTTGAGAAAGGTCCTATGAAGATCTATATCAGATTCATGCCATGTTCTTAAACAGCAACCTACAAGTTCTTCCTAATTAGCATAGGCAATTGGCCTGCCAATCCCCATAAAAGGGCATGAAACTGCAGGGCCGTGTGCAACGATGCTGGAAGAGGGGGCTGAGAGTGCTGAGGGTGCTGCAGCACCCCCTAATGTTTGGGCCTGTATCTTACTTTACTTACTAACACTAGTAGATATAACATTTCTTTTTAAATACCTGTAAGTATTATGACAATGTTGAAGTGGATAGAGTTTAAATAAAGAAACATGTCATGCAGTCATGGAAACTGTAAGGCAGCACCCCTTACCAAAAAAATGTTACCGTGCTCCTGGCTGTGTACATACAGAAATCACACACATAAATTAATAAGGAAAGTCGTGAGAGAAGTTAAGAATACCCAAATAGAAAAAACATTATTATTATTATTATTTTTATTATTGTACGAATAATAATTATTTAAAAATATGTTACAAAAATTATTAGCATTTAATGCATCCTATAAAATTATACAAGAGTAGCACTGAGTAAAACACAATAAACAATTATTTTGCACAAACTTCTCAGCACTAAAAGGCGCTCTTAAGTGTGCATAGATTCTTTTCTTCCCTAAGGACAAATACCAAATAAGAAAACATTGATGAATATCAGAATCTTGGTGAAAACTGTGTAATGGATTTTAAGCAGAAATTTAATCTTAAGAACGGTTAGCGAATGAGATCCATTGTATTCCCTGCACCGCCAAGTCACTCCCTCTCCCCATCCAATCTGTACTTTTCCAGACCCCCTAACCTCTACCTCTTGGCCTTCTACACTAGGCTTGGGTGGTATAAAATTTTTCACACTGTCATACAGTATATGGACAGTATTTTCAAAAGCAATGCAATTTCGTTATCTTGCTGCAGTAGGGCAGCTCCTATGATAAATGATAAATGATATGATAAGTGCTAATAAGATCCACCAAAGATCCATCCAGGAACAACAACAAACTCCTTTTTTGTGGACAAGGTGGAGGGCGATCCTACGGAGGAGGATTAGGGCCACCATGAAAATATTATTTGAATTCTGACTTTTTTCTCAGAATTCTGACCTTAATCTCGTAATTCTGACTTTAATCTCAGAATTCTGGCTTTTTTTCTAAATTCAAAATTCTGAGAAAAAAGTAGGAATTCTGAGATTATAGTCAGAATTCAAATAATATTTTCATGGTGGCCCTAATCCTCTTCCGTATGTTGCAGTCGTACTGTCAAATATTCATGGTCTCTGGTTTAATTTGTGTTGGAGCATAACCAACAATTACTAGTTTAGTGTTTGATTGGTCATATAGGACTGACCTCAGTATTTCCAGTGTACAGTGTGGATTCTCCATTTCAGCAAAGAGCAGCTTCATTCCTGAATCCTGCAGGTCATTATCACTCAGGTCCAGCTCTCTCAGGCGTGAGGAGTTTGATCTGAGAGTTAAAGCCAAAGCTTCACAGCATGTCTCTGTGAGATTGCAGCTGTTCAATCTGGAAAAGAAAACATTTTCAGACACAGACATATAGACAGCCTACATAGTGGTAAAAGTAATGACAGAAAACACCATAGTCATGACCCCTTAACAAAGTTTAAGCCAGTGACGGACCTCATATATAACAGTGGTCCCATAGGATGAAGCTGAACAATCCCCCATTGCCTAGTGACATAGCCATTGTAATGCTGTAAAGCAAAGTATGCTCATGGGTTTGTGGTGATGTTGGTGTAAACAAACCTAATCCGCTGTTAGTCATATACTGTAAAGTGCAGTACATGCAATTATATACAGTACATAATACTTGGTAATGATAATAAACAACTATATTACTGGTTTATTTATTTATTATACTCTACATTTTATTGTTATTTAAGCTATTCCATATAGCCTAGGTTGGTTGTAGGCTATACCATATA